AAAAAAAACTAAATAAATAGGATGCGAAGAGTCGTTCTAATGAATACAACGGTCGTTCTAATGAAATACTCTCTACCATGCGTTTTCCGTAGCCTGTAGACTTTGAAGAAATCTCGAGGCATAGAGCAAAACAGAACAAGGACGCAACCTGGAAGGGAGTAGCGATAAATAATAAATATTTCTAACACACCTATTTCTATCCGTTACCCTAGTATCCCATAACCCAAGCCTGAAAGTCTTTACTTTACATTGGGACTCACACAGCCGAAGTCATCGATATAAAACGTACTATTCAAATTATTCTGTATTTTTTGCGGTGCGGGATGTGCATACTGCATAGCATACATTAATTACTGTAGATATACACAAAGAAAACTGCAATTACTTTATTGATTTTGAAATTTTACTTCTTTAGCCGCGTTATGAAAAAATTATGAGAGTGAAATTTTAAGATGCGCGCGCATCACTGTAACACAAAAGTAACATAATGAAGTTAGCCGCGGGCGCGTTATGAAAAAATGATGAGAGTGAAATTTTAAGATGCGCGCGCATCACTGTAACACAATAGTAACACCATGAAGTTGCCGCGGGTGCGTTATGAATGTTAGTGTCTAATAATGGTGGATTATTAACCACTTAGTGGTTAATAATCCACCATTATTAGACATCTGTTCGAAAGGTACTTTGAACGATCCACGGAGCTCCATAAGATGATCGCGTTATCAAAAACAATGTTGGCACGCTCGTCGCCTCTGATCACTGTTTTCATATTTATAATATTTATCCACATGTTTCTAGTTTCTATATAGACACAACGTGTTTTAGTTACTTACAAGTGCTAATTACATATGGACTAATAACTTAAATTCAGTAGTGATTTTAATTGAATATTTTGAATATTTATTTAATTTATCAAATTAAAACTGAACTTAATTGACTGTGTTAACTATCCTTTTCCAGTCCTTTTATTATTTTATTGTAATTATTAATTATTTGCATGCAATTAAAAAATATTTTTAATGATGCTAAAGAAGTATAACTTCTCACGCGCGTACATAAGTTACACGCATCCATTTTTTTAACACATCTTTAAATGCATGAACCACTTCGACAGAGAGGAAAGCTGCGCTATGACTACTACCCTTCCGGCCATATGGCCAGCCATTTAGTCGCCTTCTCTCTTTATAACACAGAAAGCTGTGTTCGTGTACTTACTTGTTGCTCTATGTCTCAAGGCAACTAAACGAAAAATGTAGAAAAGTAATATCATAAATGTCGTTATTCGAAATATTCTTAAAGTATAATCAACGAAATTGTATTTTATTATTTGTTAAGTTTTAGGTACTTTTGGTACTTCTGCCATACAAGATCTTTGGAAAGCCTACAAGTTGCACATTGCGAGCTTTATTTTACTTCGTTTAAGTTAAGTTGAATAAAGCAAGGAATGTAGGTATTCTTTTCTTGGAATTCAATTCATAGCGCTTGCTTATTTATGGCTTTATAATCGTTGGCCTTCCACAGCGATAAAATTGAGTAAATATAATATAAAAAAATATATACCTACACCAATAAAATCTACAAAATTTACGAAGATAATACCTACTTTTATCTTTTCTAGGTAATCTAGTAGTCAGCCCCGGCGAGGCCGGGAGGCTGCTGGGTGTGGAGACGCGAAATAATCCCTAAACGGGGATCCCGCGGTTTCGCACTAAGCAGCTTAAAGGGTATCCGCAGGGGTTTTTAGCTTATATTATGGCGTAAAACGCCCGTAAGAGTTACGGGGTCCTCAGTGGGCAGCCACTGCAGGGGCTCGTAAGGCTTGCGGGAGCCAGGTGTGAGGTCCGTTAGGCGGTGTACCTCTTAAAGGCTCCGTCGTCTGTAAATAGAAGTTTTGCCTGCGTCACAAAAAAAGTAATTATGTAGTAAATTGGCATCATATTGCCTTGTAATATCTCTCCGAGTATCTATAGTCTTCAATTCTATAATCGTCATATATAATCTCTATAATGAGTCTACGATATTTCGGAGACACATTTATTATTATTTATTAATTATATTGGCGAAGCGGACAATAGCGTGCCGAATGAAAGAACACATAAAAACAGTCAGAAATAATGATACGCAAAAATCAGTCATCGCGGAACATTTAATTGATTCGGGTCCTAATCACTGGATTGAGCTCCATAATCTACAAATTATCTCGACAGAACGCCACTACATACCAAGATTGATCAGGGAAGCGATTGAAGCAACCAAACAAGAATTTCAATCGTGAGGATGGGTTTAAATTGTCAAGTGTCTGGAATCCAGTGGTCAGTATGTGTAAAAACCGCAAAAATCAAAAAAGTGTCGTTCCACTATCTCATTCTGTGAGTATTGTGAGTCGGGAACAAGTGCTAGTGAATAGTAAGAATGTGACCAGTGGTAGGGGTATCGAACGCAATAAAAGACGACGTCAGAGGGTAAACCGATATCTCTGCCAATAACATCTACCCGCAATTACTTAGTTACTCCGTGATCATGGCGCTTGCAATAGTGCCGAAATATCGGAGACTCATAAAAAACAAGGTACATGGTAACAATCCTGTTAATAGCTATAATGTAGCTATTAACAATCCTGTTAATAGCTATAGTGACCATGAAAGTCTAAAACAGTATAAAAGTCTAATACTCTAGAAGTACTTCAAAATTAAAAAAATAAACATTATACCTACTAATGTGCGTTTGAGACACACATACAGACTCTTAGCAAAAAAAATAAAAAGTTAAATTTCGACTAGTTCAAGTAAATATTACGAATAGGATAAAATATAAGACATTCTGACAAATGCATAACTTTAACAACACAAAATTATCTAGTAAAACTTAATTTTCATTGTCCGTTGAAATAGCGTCATATAAATCTGAGTGTTTAGTTAAGTTGCAACTTTGTTGCATATTTTTCTAAAGGTGAATGGCATTTATTTAATTTTATATGAATAAACGATATTCATGTTAACCTCAATTTTTACCTGTGTACTTATTTGTTATGCCGCCAAGTCTAATACATACATTGGTATTAGTATGTAGGTAGAGAAGGAAGCCTTTGTCGTAGGAGAGTTTGTATATGAAACTGTTTGGAATAACTTTCAAATTCGATAAGTTTGGAAGTTCTGAAAGTTTTCGTCTTAATCAGTGACACCATAAAACTACCCCATAATACAACGATAGTCGTCATCGTCCGTTCTTAGGGTTCCGTGCACCAAAAATAAAGAAAACTGAAAATGGGACCCACTCAATAAGGGGTTATAAAATAAGATTTAATGAACCTTTAACAGTAGGCCACATCAAGCAAAAAAACACAATTCTTATATAAGAATGATATGTACACAGTCAGGTCATAAGTATTGTCACACCGTAAAAACTTTTCTTTTAGAACGCTGGCCACAAAAAAGTTTATTGAATTCGAATTTGGAATTGTTCATGAAAATAAAAATGTATATACTTTTTAGAATTTTACTCATTTTTAAATATGGAGTGGACGCTTAAAGAAGACCATGTTGCAGTTAATGTATTGCATCGTTGCGGTTACGCGCCAGTTCAAATTTTGGACATACTGAAAAATTTGAATATAACCAAAAGATTCGTTTATCGTATCATCAAACGATACAATGAAGACTCTAGTATAGATGACAGGTCAAGAAGTGGTCGCCCTCGGTCTGTTAGGACGCCAGCAGTGATAAAAGCTGTGAAGGCGCGAATTCAAAGAAATCCCAAACGTAACAGAAACTGTTGGCCCTTCAGATGGGGTTAAGGGTGAAAAGGGTATTAAATGAAGACTTAGGGTTTCGGGCATATCGAAGAAAAACAGGACATCGTTTGAATGCTCGTCTAATGGACCTGAGACTGAAGAGATGCCGCGCTTTGTTGAAGCGGTACGCGGGATAAAAATATCGGGAAATTCTTTTTACGGATGAAAAAATTTTTACCGTAGAAGAGAGCTACAACAAACAAAATGATAAGGTGTACGCACACAGTAGTGAAGAAGCGAGCAACCGTATTCCGCGTGTCCAACGAGGTAATTTTCCATCCTCGCTCATGGTATGGTTGGGAGTTTCTTATTGGGGCTTAACAGAGGTACATTTTTGTCAGAAAGGTGTAAAAACGAATGCAGTTGTGTATCAAAATACAGTCCTGACGAACCTTGTGGAACCTGTTTCTCATACCATGTTCAATAACAGGCACTGGGTATTCCAACAAGATTCGGCGCCAGCTCATAGAGCGAAGAGCACACAAGACTGAGAAAATCTGAGAGAAATCGACTTCATCCGGCACGAAGACTGGCCCCCCTCCAGTCCAGATTTGAGTCCGTTAGATTACAAGATATGGCAACACTTGGAGGAGGCGTGCTCAAAGCCTCATCCCAATTTGGAGTCACTCAAGACATCCTTGATTAAGGCAGCCGCCGATATTTACATGGATCTCGTTCGTGCTGCGACGACTATAAGTCCGACTTGCGCTTGGCTGGTTTTAAAATACTAAAAATATTTTATTATAAAACACATAGGGAACATTTTGCCCCACTTATCGAAAAATAGCGATCACAAACAAAACCTTTTTCAAAGGATAGATACAATGATATACTTTATCCCTGTGCAATTTTTATTTGTTACCTATGGGGATGCTGAGAAAATGAGGGTTTTGTATCAGCGAAGCCTGTAAGGCCCTTATGGGCGAAGGCGTCTGTCTCCCCGCGAAATAAGTATCTGACATAATCCTGTAGCCGGCTGTAGGGTATCCATGAGGATTTCACCACGCACCCCCCTTGCCTAGGAGGATACAAAAAAGAATAGAAAAGTTTTCAGCGCACGCGCAAATTTGACTTTATGACCAATACGTCGCACTCTGTGTTTTTAAACTTTATTCTACATTATTGCATTGTTTATATTTTTAGATTACCCAATTTTAATAATGAAATCTTAGATTTATAGTAAATAAATATCTTTAGATTTTAAACTTACCTATCTTCTGAATTTGTTTTATCCACAATTTTATCCACTTTAATAATGTTACATTAAATTTTAGTTAAATTTAAGAAAACTTAGTTCACTTCACACATCACACACTCAGAAAACATTAAAGTATTATTATGAAAATTTATTAAATATATAACGTAGTCTGAATTCATAGGTTTTTTTCACTATTACAAATCAGTGCTGACGTGCCAACAGTATGACCAACTACCGCAAACTCGACCACTACACTTCATTAGCAGGTATACAAAATAACATCTTTGCTACCTCTAATAATACTTCTTCAAAAATAAACCATAAATGTTGTGATTAGAACTTATAATGCTTTAATGCGTAATTTCTTTGCCATCATAACCGATTACAATTTCCAGCCTAAAAGCAACCGCGAAAGAGTTTACTTTGCTATAACGAGTAAGTTAAGGTAAGCTCCACCTACACCGTATTGACAAATAATCTGATTGGTGGTGGCTGGGAAACCCGGTTGAAGACAATCCTGCGCAGCCTCGAGGCGTTTACTTTTTGAAACTCACGATTTTCTCGATTCTGTTTTCTGCCGGCTAATACAGTAATTGAGAACTTGGAATAGAAACATAAAATTATATTCCAGACAGGTGTGTATTATACCTTTTTTACAATTCTTTTTTATGAGTTCTTTGTTGTTTGTTTATTATTTGTAAAGCTTTAAAATAGGGCAATGTTTAAGATTTAAGTTAATCACCAATATCTTCTCTATATGCTGTTAATATTGAAATGAATGATTGTATGTTTGTTAGTCAATCACGCAAAAACTCACAGATAGGATTTGGATGAAATTTGGTACGAAAATATATTGTTTAGGTATGGTCTGAATTGAAATATAGGATACTTCTTATCCCGGAAAATGTTAGTTTCATTTCGCAGAATATCATTCGGCATTCATTCATTTATCAGACATTCAAAACTCATAATTTTTCTTTAGCATAAATTTAATATTAATTAAAAGCAGAACCATCATATCGCAGAAAGTTCAAATACAGAATCTCCACTCGGTTCACATTTAGAGTATTTTGGCATACAAATATTTCATATTTTCTTCTTTTATGTATACTTTTTTTAGCATAAGCTAAATAAAATGCTGCCAAAGGAAAAATGCCTAATAAAATTCTGCTATCAAAAAAATATGCCATTGAAAATTCGGACCTATAAAAATCCGATTAACACTAATTACCTTGTAATTACCTATATTTAAAAAAAATGCTTGATAATATGATTCTAAGAAAATTATGCCAAGTGAATTTCGGAGCAACAAGATTGTACCAAATAGAGTGAACCCGTTCCTTACATACGTATATGTGATGAATAGGAAGTGAACTTCGATGTGTATCACCTATTTAAAAAGAAAACTGGAAAAAGCCACAGCTCAAGTTTTGGATGGGTCAATAGCGTTCACTGATCGGAATTCAATAGAATGATTCTATTTATCTTATGAGAACAGCTAATTTATTTCAGGTTAGTATTTCGCTATTTAAACAAACATTCAAACTAAAGAAAATATAACTAAAAAAAATTCCACGCGGACCAGGCAGCAGACGGGACTCGAACCCGCACCCTTCGCAATCCGGGCGAATGCACTGACCGAGGTGCGAGTTCGAGTCCCGTCTGCTGCCTGGTCCGCGTGGAATGTTTTCTAGTTATATTTTCTTTAGATTGAAACATCAAGCAGTTACATGCTTTAAAATAATAAAAAATATAACTATAATTGCTATTTCTTCTTTCAAATGTTTAATACTTGTAAAAGTATTCATTTGACATTGTGGGTTACCTATAATGCGAAGAGATGGCGCTGCCTTGCAGCTTAAGAATGGCTAGAAGAATTTCGACGCGGTCCGTGAGGGCCGCGGTAGCATAATTGGTCAGTGCATTCGCCCGGATTGCGAAGGGTGCGGGTTCGAGTCCCGTCTGCTGCCTGGTCCGCGTGGAATTTTTTCTAGTTATATTTTCTTTAGATTGAAACATCAAGCAGTTACTAGCTTTAAAATAATAAAAATTATAAACATTCAAACTACTTACTTAAATCCCATTCAAAATTAGGTAAACTAAAATGGAAAAAAACACAAAAGTGGACACTAGAACATTTACAAGAATAAGTTTCCATAACTGGACTAGGTTATGCCATTTAACTTAAAATTTAATAAACCTACTTTTTATTGAATTTATAATTTCTTTTTTATTTTACCTCACATTAGGTGTATAAAGTAGACTATTTTCCTCGGGGATAAACGTGTTTTAGTTTTGGGCAGACCTAAATCCTTCGCTTCCGGATTCTTACCATAATTCACGAAAGAATAACCTCTTAATTCTCGGGAATTCGCTCGGGCGAATAACATCTATAATTATATATAACTAGCTGACCCAGCGAACTTCGTATCGCCATAAAAATATGTGTGGTAGAGGGGTGAAAATTAAGGGTTGTTTGTGTTTTTAATATTACGATACATAGGTATTTAACGTAGTTTTTTTTTCTTCAGACTATTTAATAATTATTTTGAACACAATATCGGTTATTTTAATTAAACCATGATAGCTAGATATATGTTCTTGCGGACTTTTTTGTTAATGGGATCTACAAACCCGTAGTCCATCATTTTGTTCTATTGTCAATAGTTTTTGCAGCGCACGCAAAAATAGGTTTTCGATTTTACACCTTGTGTAACAAAATAGCAATTTTATTACGGATCCCTAATTTTGAAAATAAATAAATATAGCCTATAGCCTTCCTCGATAAATGGACTACCCAACACTGAAAGAATCATTCAAATCGGACCAGTGGGCCAATCGCCTAACCAGATTGCTTAGGAAAACGCTATCGCTTACGATTTCATTTTGTTATTTCTAACCGCCGAAGGTTTTCAAATACCTCACGCTCATTTTCTTTAACATTGTTATTACCAATGCAAAAGAAAAAAAAAAGAGCGCGAGGCATTTGAAAACCTGAGGCGGCTAGAAATAACAAAATGAAATCGTAAGCGATAGCGTTTTCCAAAGCAATCCAGTTAGGCGATTGGCCCCCAGTAGTTCCGGAGATTAACGCGTTCAAACAGACAATGCAGATGTCCGATCATTAAGGGAGGCGATGGTGGAGGGAGTGAATGCAACCCTGGAAGCTGTTTTCCTCTGGGGTGAAGCCAACTTGGTTGGATTTAATCCCTCAAAAACACAGGCCTGTCTCTTCTCGACGAAACGGAGTCCATTCCATCTGACTCATGAAATGTCTCCGTGCAGGTTAAAGACCAACTCGAGCTCTTGGGTATGGACATCTCATCCAGCCTCAATTTCGGTCGCTACATCGAGTCCATTGCTAAAACCGCTGCCAGAAAACTTGGAATACTTTCTAAGGTCAGGCGATATTTTACATCTGAGCAGCTCCTTAACCTTTACCGAGCCCAAGTTTGCTCCTGCTTGGAGTACTGTTGTCACCTTTGGGACGGATCTGCTCGGTATCAGCTGGATGCACTGGACTCGGTGGAACACCGTGCGAAGAGACTCATAGGCAATGACGCTCTCGTTGAGGCTAATCTCCAGAGCCTTGACCACCGAAGACGTGTAGCTTGCCTCTCGGTGTTTTATCGGTTACATTTCGGAGAGTGTGCGGAGGTATTACATAATTTGATCCCCCCTTCCCCTTTCCACCACCGGACGACCAGGCGCGGCGAGGGCTTCCACCCTTATGTTGTCGAAGTTCCTCCCATTCGCACGAAGCGATTTGCTTCGGCCTTCATTATGCGAACGGCTAGGGAGTGGAACTCCTTGCCGAGGTCTGTTTTCCCGGACCAATATAATCTGGACATCTTCAAGGCCAGAGTGAACAGGCATCTTCTAGGCAGGCGTGTACCATCCTAGGCCTCATCATCACTTTCCATCAGGTGAGATTGTGGTCAAACGCATTGCCTATTATGCATAAAAAAAAATAAAAAAAAACAAAGAAACAAACAAACTCTGCAGCTTTATAATATTAGTATAGATTTAATAATTTCCTCACTACATTCGGGAATGAACTATCAAATCCTTCATCTGAATTGAATTCAATATGCCTCCCGGGACATAATACACTGCTTTATCCCCTTTGGTGCCTAGGTAATTTGTATTTACCTATTTAAAAGTTTAAAACAGATCATGGCGGATTAACGGCCACTCTTAAATATACATAAATTTTAACCGTTTTATTGTTTCGCTCAACCGTCATCGAAAAAATTACATTATCAACTGAACTGAAATCAAGCTTAAAGCTTAACTGACGTCATTGAATATATAGTCTTAATTAACTCCTCATTTTAAATTGCAATGCATGCAATATAGGAAAGTATATTTTGTGAGTGAGAGGTTAAACATAGGTATTGTAAATATAGAGTAGAAATTACTTTTAAGGGCCTTTCCATCACGTCATGTAGGTATGTCTGTTAAATTTTAGCTATCTTCCAATTTCAAAGTTACTGAATCATTGGTGAAATTTCTATAAAGACCAGTCTATATTATTAGAGAACGTATCGTCTACCTTCAGAGGAGCAGAGCTAGTCAGCATTCCAATGCTCACCCAGTTACGGTCCGCCGGCCGAGTGCTAATTGGTAAAGGAAACATCGAACAACCCAGGCTCAATGCTCTCCACAGAAACGTTTCATTTTTAAACATACTCGTCACCGTTATAGCCAATCGTCGCAGCCTGTAGACGTATGCGTCTGTTCAACAATGTTCGACTACAGTATTATAGAATTTATGAATAAAAAATATTGTAGGTACTTTATTAGGTACTTTCAATATTCCACGAAAAAGGATGGAAAAAAAAAGTTTTATTTTTATTTGTACCTAAAGCAATTCTGCCTTGAGGCGAATCCGCCTTAAATAGAAAATAAAGCGAAAAATATATGTAAAACATTTTTTTAATAAAGCATAGGTTCTCTAAATTAGTAGCTTAAAATACGTTTCTATGGCATTAAGAATCATAAAGGTATTAAGAATCTAAAAATATTGTACAGTAACTTAATGCCAAATGTAACATTATATTATTATGAATCTGCTTTATTGTTTCGAAATAACGTGAAAAGATTTCAGATTTTCAAATAAGTTTTAACTCTCTGCCAGGGCAGCCAGATCGTATAATTCTATACAAAATCGGTATAATTGGACTGTTTTGTTATATCCCCTAAGTACATACTTAGGGTATAAATATTAT